CAATCAGTATGCTCAGTCTGCTTACGCTACAGGATCCTTTCCTGGTAGGGGTACCGTGCCCACAGCCACGTCTGTTGCTGAATCCAACACTCATGGGACCAGCCCTGCCGGGCTTCTTACCACCAGGCTCCACCCCCTGCCATGACTCAGGACACCACCAACCAACAACCCTCGTCAGACCTCAGCCTCAAGACAAGACTGCCACCCACATTTAACGGCACTGATGATGACTTCACCTTGTGGCTCAACAAATTTGACCTTTATGCCACTTCCCAGAAGTACACCCCTGAGGAACGTGCCATGGCCCTCCCAACTTTCCTTGACCACCATGCCCTGCGTTTCTACCTTGGTTTGCCGAGGCAGGCCCGTGCTACCTATTCAACACTGACTCAGCGTCTGGCCACTGCCTTTTCCAAGGAACACTACATTTACACGTTCCGCCAGTCGCTCCAGGAGCGAACACGCCAACCTGGAGAACCCTTGATCGTATTTGCACTTGATCTACGCAGGTTGGTAAGCCAAGCCTATCCTGAGTACAACGAAGCAGCGGTTGAGGGGCTTACCTTGGACTACTTCTTCAGGGGAATTGATCCTACCATCCGCAGACGGCTTCGCGAGGTGCAGGCCACAACAGTGGACCAAGCAGTCAAAACCGCTACCATGCTGGAACAGGCCGCTACAGCAGCTGCATGGGAGGCCAACAACGCTCATGCTGTCGATCCTACCTTCCATCACCCCGCGGTGAGTGCCGTCCGCAACGATACCTCCCTACACCGTACTGTTGCTGACCTGGCCCGCCACGCCTCACCTACTGCTCACACTACAGCAGTCCTCGACGGACATGCCACCCGCATTCTTATAGACACGGGTTCAGCCATATCTCTAATCAGCGAAACCTTACGTGATACGATTCCTTCTCTCCGGCAATCCCAACTCAAACCTTCCTTCACCACAGCAAAATCAGTCACCGGTGAACCACTTGATGTCCTCGGCGTGTTGGACATCCACATCCGTATTGGTAACTACGACACCTGCCACCCCGTCCATATTGTGCGAGGGGCTGACCAGACTGCCCTGTTAGGATGGGACTTCTGCGTCTCCAACTGCGTAATTCTTAATGCCAGTAGAGGTACCCTCACGGTAGGGGACGAGATTGTGCCTCTCCTGACGGACACAGAACTGATTCCACAAGTCTGCAACGCATCCGTGTGCCGGATCACCACAGTCCCACCCCACGCGGTGATGGCCGTTCCCGTCACCCTCACTCCTCGGGATGCCCATGGGGTTTCTCTTCCCACGTATGTTGGCATGCTTGAACCTCGCCAGCACGACGAC